GGAGGTCTCCCAGGTCTGCTCTGGAGGGCAGAGTCCCGGGCTCGGAGACAGCCACGCTCGCCTGGATGGCGTGGCGTGCTTCAGGGGGTGTTCCCACAGTTCCTTCTTGCGGGAGGGTCCAGCCCTTCCACGGGGCGATGGCAGGTGGTTCGAGCATCTGCCAGACAGGCTGCGGGCCGGCTCCCGCGCCTCTCCTTGCCTGACATCCCTCGACGCGCCTGGCTGCTGCTGCCTGCTCCGGGTGGTGGGCAGGGAGCCCGGGGGTGGGCACCGGGTCTGGATGCACGGGGTGGGTTGGGAAGAGCTGTCCTCTCGCCCGCTGTGCATGGCGGTGGCTATGTCTGCCCCTGCTGAGACGCGGGGTGGCCTGGGAGCCCCCTCCTCCCCGTGGCCGGCTGGGCGGGTGGGCAAGGGAGCTGTGCCCCCCCCTCTGCTCTCCGTGGCCTCTGACCTTTGCTTCACCTTGAGCCTGGGAGACGCCATCTGTTTCGCAGCAGCAGTTCAATGTGCGGCTCATTGTCGCGGGGCCCCACCGCGGCGGCAGACAATGGGGGCCCCCTTGCCCGCGCCACACCGGCGCTCGTCACGGCTGTCAGGCCTCCGGCCAGCCGGCTGTCAGGCCTCCGGCAAGCCCGCAGGCTGTGGTCCTGCTCCTGCCGCAGCGCCGGGCGGGAAGCCCCGACCTGGCCGCCCCGTTCGGGGAGAGCGCGAAGCAGCGCCAGGGGCTGCACCCCACCCCGGCGCATCTGCGCCGCCGACTGCGCAGAACAAAGAGGCGAGCGGGAGGGCCCGGGGCTCTCGGATAACGCAGTGGGGGGTCTGCACTGGGCGAGGAGGGGGATTGTGGCTGCCGGACCCCCCTTTGTATCCCTCCATGGTGATTTCTGTGGGTCTTGGCTTTGCCCTGCAAGTCCCCTCAGTCCCAGTGTGCTGCAGGTGCAGGTGGGAGCTGCTGGTGGCCTCCCAGCCTGGCGTGCTGGTGGTGGGGCTGGCTCTTTAGCACGGCGTGATCTTCCCAAGGGTCCAAAATGCTCCCAGCTGGCACGTGGCAGGCTGGCAGCAGCTGGGCAGCCCAAGGCTGCTCTCCTCCAGTGGGAGAAGGTGTGGTCCCACATGTAGCCTACAAGAAATTCTCTGGATTGGTGTCAGCGTCCCGAGGTCTCGTTTCCTGCCTCATCTGCCCTGCACCTGCGCCGAGCCGGGGCCATGCCGTGCGGTGGCTCACACCCGGGGTGACTCGTGGTCTGTGTGTCCTTCTGCAGGTGCTGCCCACCGCGAACCAGTCAGTACAGACGTGCTGCCTGCTCTGTCACCGGGAGCGCAAGGACTGGGGAGGGCCGTCCCACAATGGGCTGGTTTCCCCGGGCGAGAGGCTGCCACCGGACTTCGTGCCAACGCTCGTGCAGAACCTCCTGGGAGAAATGCCACTGTGGATCTGCCAGAGCTGCCGGAAAAGCGTGGAGGAGGAAGAGCGAAGAAAAAGGGGGGGGGGGGAGGGGGGGCGGGCGGTGCAGGAGCAGGCCCTGGCGGTAAGCGATTACGGAGCTGGGGTTGGAAAGGCTGGGGCTGTAGCTCCTGGGACGGCAGCATTGGCCACCCTACGGCGCCGGCTGGGTGTGCGGGTCCCCTCCTCGCTCGGAGCTGAGTGCTTCAGACATCCCAGCCTCGCTGCTCCCTGCAGCCATGCTGCCCTCCCTGGGGCTGCTGCTGGCTCCTCGGGGAGAGAGCGTGGAGGCTTGTCCGGCAGCCTGTGTTGGGTTGGAGCTGCCTGCCTGGTGAGGCTGGCAGTGCCGCTGCTTCTCCGCCAGCCCCGCTCCACTGCGCATTGTGCCGCGCCTCCCTGGAGCGGCAGCGTGTGCCGGGGCAAGCGCCTGCCCCTGCGTGGAGCTTAGGGGAAGAGAAGCTCCCTCCTGCTTGGCTTTATTTAACCCTGGCCTGGTTTGAGCGGGAGCAGAGCCGGCGCGTGGCCCTTGGCACGGCACGGCTGTGCTGGCAGGGACCCTGGGAGCCAGGCTGTGTGGCTGTTGGACGGACGGGCTGTTTGCCACCCCCGAGACAGTGACAGGAGCGGTTCCCACGTGCTGAGCCCCTGCCTTGGGGCAGCGGAGGGGGTCTCGGTGCAGATGCCCTGGGGCCAAGGGCCTCCCCTCCCAGCCCGCTGCTGCTTCACTCTCTGTTTTCCTTGCCAGGTCTCGTTATCCCACACATCCTGCAAGTCACAGTCTTGTGGGGGTGGCTCCCACTCCTCTTCCTCCTCCTCCTCCTCTTCTTCCTCCTCGTGCCACGGCAACTCAGGGGACTGGGACCCCAGCTCTTTCTTGTCTGCTCACAAGCTCTCGGGCCTCTGGAACTCGCAGCACACCAACGGGGCCGCGCAGGGCAGCCCCCTCGGGGCCCCCCCTGCTGCACTAGGTGAGTTGAAGCCGGCCGTGGGGTTGAGCAGAGCTTTCTGCCCCATTCTTGGCTTAGGTGGTTTCCTTGCGGGCACCCAGCTGGTGGGCAGGGCTGGGCAGGCCGGGCCTCTGAATGCCAGGCACCCCTGGGTCCCTTTGCAAAGGCAGAGGGTGCTGGGAGTCGGCCCTAGCTCCGCTTTCCTTCCAGGCGACAAGCACCCCGGCCTCGCTCTCTCTCCGGAGCGCGCCAGCCAGGCGCCTGCCGTGGCGCCGGGGCTCAAGGCCTGTCCCTACAGCCACGCAGCCTCCCCCACCTCCAGCAGCGCCGCCCCGGGCTCACCTCTGCCTACCTCACTCGACTTCTGCAAGACGCTGCCGAAGCAGTTCAAAAGCATGTGCCGGAGGGCCACCCCGCCAGGTGCGTGCCCAGGGGCAGAGCCGGCCTTCTCCTCCCATCCCGCTGCTCCACGCAGCCCTCGCTGCCTCGGCGCCTTCCCCTTGCTCTGCTCTCCGTGGGGCAGGGCTGAATCTTGCGGGGGAGACGGGGTGCCACTGAGGCCCCTCGCGAGCAGGGATGGCTTCTAGCCCGAGCGCCCTCCTGCCTGGGGGGAGGCAGGGTTTGTCCCACGGAGAAGCATCCTGTGCAGAGGTGGTGGGTGGCGGGACAGCCCGTGTCTGACCATTTCTGCTCCTCTGCAGGTGAGGCCTTCCTCTCCTCAGAGCATCATCAGCACTCGGACCTCACTGCTCCTCCCAACAGTCCCACTGGCCTCCCCTCCCAGCCGCCAGCGCTGATCCCCTCCAAGCAGACGTCAGCCCATCCGGGGCCCTTCGGCTCCCCGCCCCACGTCCCGCTGGGCACCTCCCCGCAGGCTGCGCTCTTCCCCGCGCCCAGCGCGCAGGCGGCAGCCCCGAAGCCGGCGTCTGAGTCCCCTCCCGCTGGCACGGTCTCGCACAACCCGGGGTCGTGTAAGAGCCCGCACCTGCCCCCTGCCAACGTGCCGCTGCTGAAGATGCCGCCTCCGCTGTCGGGCTGCGCTCATCCCTGCAACGGGCACTGCAGTACTTCGCTCATCCCTCCGCCTGCCTCCCACCAGCTGCCCAGCACGAACAGGTGAGTAGAGGAGCCTCTGCCTGCTTCCAGCCTCTCTCCTCGCCGGGCGACGCGCCCTTTCTCCCACCCCTGCCCACGGATGTGCTTTCCCCTGCGGAGGGACCGACTGCCCTGGCGTGGTGGTGCGGAGAGCCGCTGCGTCTGCGGGCCAGTTCCGCTGCTGCAGACCCCTGGTCTCTGAGGGTTGAGCTCTTTCTCTCCCCACGTGTCTTCTCCCTGCGGTTGTCCTTTAGTACTGTGGTGCAGAAGAAACTGTGCTTGCTCCTCCTCCAGCTAAAAGACGCAAAGGAACAGCCCGGTCAACCTGCTGTTGGCCAACAGGACCTTTGTCAGTGAGACCCGTCGGGCAGCTGTGACACTGAGCAAAGGTCCTCGAGAAGATGAAGCCTGTGGACTTGTGGTTCTGCTCGCCTGCTCCCCTGGCCCTCTCTGGGCTGCCTGTGCCCTGGAAGAGAGCACGCTGAGTCGCAGGCACTGGTTCCTCTCCGCTGATTAGCGCTCCCTGCGGAGGGCCAGCCAGGTCCCGAGCCGGAGCTCGAGGAATGGCGCTGTGGGCCGTGCCCTGGCTTCCCTGTCTCTGAGCTGGGTAGTCTGTGCCTGTGGGAGCCGGGCCTGCCTGCACGTGGGGATGTCTGGCAGCTGCACGCAGTTCCAGCGTTTCTCACCTGGGCTACCTGCCGCCCCCAGTGAGTACCGCTCCCTGCCCTGGAATCAGCTTGTGGCCTGGCAGGGGGACGCTGCTTTCTGGAGCTCTGGTGCGCCAGCCTCCTGCCTGCCAGAGGCCCTGGGGGGCGAGGAGCTACAGATGTCTTCTGCCGCGGGCTCCTCTGGCGTCTCCCCCGGCGGAGGATGCAGGGGAGGGGGTTTGTCTGCCCTGCAAATCATTCTGCTCGGGCACAGGCTGCCCTGGGAGGGGTGTTCCTACACGCGTAGTGTGGGGCGATTTTCGAGACTCCCTGGCTCCCGCTCACCTCTCGCCCTTCTCCCCTTCCCCTCAGGGACCCCTCTTGCAAAGGGCACAAATTCCCAAACGGTACCAGCTGCCACCCGCCGCAGCCGTGCGAGGCAGACGAGGGGCTCGGGGAGGATGAGGACAGCAGCTCGGAGCGCAGTTCCTGCACCTCCTCCTCCACCAACCAGAAAGACGGGAAGTTCTGCGACTGCTGCTACTGTGAGTTCTTCGGCCACAACGCGGTGAGTGAGGGGCTGGTCTGCAGCCACCCCCGGTCCTCGCGCTCCACTCTGCGGTGAGGCGTTACGCAGCCCATGTGCCGAGAGCGCGGAGGTGGGCAGGTCTGGCCACAGCTGTTCCCTGCCGGCGTATGCATTCCCCCCGCTTTGTTTTCATCCTGCCTCATTAGCCTTGCTGGTCCCCTTGCTCCCGATTTGCAGCCACCTGCCCGGCCCTGGGGCTTGGCGCAGCCAGCCAAACCTTGTGGCTTCGCGGTGGAAAAGAGTTGAGCGGCGGCTGTGCCGACTCGTCTCGCTGAGACCTCGGGGAAGGGAGTGGCTGGGGAGGTCGGTGGGGGAGCCGGGGTTGCCTGCGCGTCACGCTGGCTTCGTGTGCCCACCCGGCTGACAGCGCTCGCCTTCCGCAGCCCCCAGCCGCTCCCACGAGCCGCAACTACGCCGAGATCCGGGAGAAGCTGCGTTCGCGCCTCACCAAGAGGAAAGAGGAGCTGCCGCAGAAACTGGGGCACAACAGCAGCTCAGGAGAACCCGCTGTGGACCACCGCAACGTGGACGAGCTACTGGACTACATCAACAGCACGGAGCCCAAGCCCTTGAACAGTGCCAAGGCGGCCAAGCGGGCTCGGCACAAGCAGAAGAAGAAGGTGAGGCTGGGCAGAGGGAAGCGCTGCCTGGGGCGGGCTGCGGGAGGGAGGTCAGGGCAGGACTGTGCTCCTTGCAGGGCTTTGCCTTCTCTCCCTCACGTCTGTTTGGTTTTTTGAGCTCTGTGTCCTTTGCTGTCCTCTCCCCTGAGGTGACAGCGGTGCCTGGCTCCATGCTCCCCCGCCTCTGTCCCTGCGGGGGGTGGCCCAGCCCTCCTGGGCATTTTTGGGCTGTGCTGTCCTGCCTGCTCTGTGCCGTGTCTCTGACAAACACCGTGCATCTGTGGCGGGGAGAGGCAGTGCCACGATGGCACCGGTGCGCGGTGTGGTAGCTGTTGCAGTGCCCGTGGAGGACACGTGACAGTTTGGGGGCTGTGGAAGATGTGGGGTGGCCGTGCTGAGCGCTGGCCCTTGGGTTTGCTGCCTGACAAAGCTGGTGCTCAGCTAGCCCCGTGGCTCTGTGGCCCAGGGCCATCTGATCCTCATGGCTCCTGTGTTGCAGGAGAAGGAGAAAGCCCAGCTGGAGGCGGAGGCCCAGAAGCGGGCAGAGCGTGCCCCCGCAGCTGGCCAGGCCCGGGAGCCGGCCGAGGAGAAGCTGCTGGAGTGGCCGGAGCTGGAGCTGGAGCGGGTGAACAGTTTCCTCAGCAGCCGGCTGCAGGAGATCAAAAACACCATCAAGGACTCCATCCGGGCCAGCTTCAGCGTCTACGACCTCAACCTGGATGTCAACGATTTCCCCAAGAAGGCAGCTGTCCTGGAGCAGAAGAACCTGCTCTCCCACCTCAATGGCTCCTCCGACCTGCAGGACATAGACCTGGCCCTGGCCCCGCTCAGCCTGGGCCCCGCCAAGAGCCACGCGCTGCTGCGGGGTGAGCTGGGCCCCCGATGGGGCGAGGGACCTGGGGAGCCGCCGCCGGCTCCGGCGGCCGAGAACGGCGTGGTGAAACGCCTCAGCGCCGTGCCCAGCCTCTCCCGCATGATCTGGGTGCAGTCCAAGGCTGCGGACTCTGCCGCCGATGGCAGCGGGCTGAGCCCGGAGCCCAAGGAGGGACAGCAGCTCAAGGGACCGGAGCTGCCGGAGCCGGTGCCCGCCGGGAGCCGGCAGCGGAAGAATAAGCGGCAGAGCGGGCAGGCGAAGAAAGGGGAGGGCGCTGGTGCCATGCCCGGTGGCCAGGCCCGGCTGGAGAGCCCTGGTGCGAAGGGGCAGGGGCTGGGGACCAAGCACCCTTCCAAGGCTGGCGCACCGGAGCCGCAGCGGGGCGGGG